ACGAAGTAATCGTTCCATCATCAACGTCGGCGAATGTTGATTGAAAGGACGAACTTTTGGTGGGCAGATTTTTCAACCCCGGTCGGTTGATATAGTAAAGTGTCCTGGCCAAACAAAAGAACACTGGCGCACCTCGGACAAACAAAAGCCCTTTAAATATCCCATTTCACCCTTCGGTTGTCGCATCCCCGAACCCACCCCTGGAGCTTCTGGTACTTCAGCTGCGACTCCGCCGAAGGGTTGTTTCCTCGGTACTTTCCCTCGATGGGAACAAAACCGGCCGTCGAAAGAGAAGGACTATATCCGTCGAAACAAGTTTTTATATCGAGGGAAGGCGGGAATAGAATCCGTGTCCGTACATTTGGCGTTCCCGTTTTCCCGACGAGAAAATGCTCAAGAGCTCGTTCTCGGATTAGAACCTGAAAAGAAAAATCCTTCGCAAAGGATACAACCTTCCATGTCGATGGTAAAATCTTTTAGCCTAAGGATAAATGAAAAGTAGGTGCATTTTTAAAAAAATACATAAAATTCAGACACTATTAGTAGATGAGGTTGCAGTCAAATTATAAATTTCAGGTCTTAATAGTGAATTAATACACATTTACTATAAAATTCTAAGTAAATTTATAATCTAATAACATCGTGTTGTAATTTCGTGACATTGCGGAGAAATGTTATACATTTGATATTCGAAAGTCATTTAGCACGCATTGTTTGCAAACTTTTTAGATGTCTTTTTAATTTTACGATCGTTTACGTAAGTTTATTTATAAACAAATTTAATCGAGAGGTGACAAGTATCGGCGATACTGGTGGGGAAGCATTATAGCGACATTCTTAAGCCCGAGAAATGTTTAAATAATATTAAAAGAAATTCTTACATTCAATAGAATTGCTCGATAATTACAAAAAGATTTTTTTCGGCGTTTAAGGCAGGACCTGTCTCTAGAAACATACTCGAACATGCCCGGAACATGTCAAATTGGTTTGTTTGCAGAATAAACGTTTAAAATCAAGTACCGATCAGCACAAAATTATAACATATGTTATCAATTTTTTACACATATGTACTACATTTACATGTCACATTTTATATAACATATGTTATCAATTTCTACACATATGTACTACATTTACATGTTACATGTTATATAACATATGTTATAAAATTATAATATTTTTTCTAACCGCGTAGGACACGATGGTCGCGGTTCGGAGAGGAAAAAGACCGTTCGATAACATTACATCGCGTAGACAGTATCGAGGGATAAAACGATTCAGATCCCTCAATACGTCAGGGTCCGCAAAGATAAGTGGTGCAATTTGTTCCTATCGTGTGTCAGAGTTGACTCTTCTGCAGCTGCGCATACGTAACCGTACCAGTGTAGGTTAATCTCGTTTTTCATCGTACTTTGTTCTAGCACTAGATACCAAAGTCGGATCGTGTTAAGGTGAGGTGAAACACGTCGAGGAACTTGATCGACGTAGATAAAGAAGATTCTTCTAAACACCTCCGTTGCCGATGTTGGTTTTTATATTGATAGCTGGATCGAATTATATTGGGTATTGTCCTAAATGGCATACTCCACCTGTCGTTTTCGTACATTAATTATAAAGAAATCGAAGTAAACCTCCAGAAATCCTCTGGATTTATGCTTTCTGGGGCCCTAATTGACAGCAGAGGGACCCCCTGCGCCATCTGTGATTTCCAGGTCAATTAAATTTTCACTCCGAGACCTCGTATTTCCATCGTTTTGACATAGAAGCGCATAAAACACTTTTTTTGCCTTTATCCCGTACAAATGCGAGTTTATCGATTACCAGAGTGTTCTAAATTGTCGTGAAATTGTCCTGACTCTTTCGTTTCTCATATCGGAGCCTTCGATAATTGTATATTGATCGAAATATGAGAGCTCGACGCCATTTTAGTTCTGGTCTGGGTTAAGTTAAACAATTGTTTCCAAAACTCCAAAGTTTGAATGTGTCGAGACAATTCTTAGATGATCACGAGTCATGTGTCAAAGTTTCGGACAGTTTGGTCCAGTACCCTTAAAAAAAAGTGTTCTATTCGAATCGACTGATTTGAAAGGGGTTTCACTTCACCTTAACCCTTTGGCTACAAAGAGCGCCTAAAGGCGCCCGACGTTTGGTCCAATATTGCCTGTACGATCAGACGAATTTCGCTCATATGTCGAAATGGCTCCGTGTCCAAAGGGTTAAATTGGTTAGATCGTGTTGGAACTTTGTTCCGATATTAGGTATCGAAATTTATTGAAATCATTTATTAAAGGAAAGGATCCATTATGCATGAACCCGTGCGGGTAATCCAGGGGCAAACACGGTATGTTCTAGGTGCAGAGAATCGTATAGAGTTTGATAAAACTGGAAAGTCTGCGGATTTGAAGGATCCAGAGAACGCTGGTCGTGGTTCCCATCGAAGAGGCGATCCGTAATGCTGGATTTGCGATTAAGGTGTCGCCGGTAGTGCCAAGGGATGAGATAGTTTGGATCTCCCAACGTGTCGCCAAGATAAGTGGTCAGAACCTAACCGTAGATCCATCTCACTCCTACGACGTGTCAGAAGTGACTCTTCTACCGTTGCAGCATCCCTAACTGCGCTAATGCAGGTTAAGCTCCGTTCACCCTGCACTTTGCTCGACCACTCTAGGGACCGACGCCGGATCGGGTTAAACTGGTTAGCTTATGTTCTAGACGTGAGTTGCTTCTCTTCGAGGAAGGTACTACCCGATATGCTCCTCTCCAGAGCATTGCGAAACTTCGTTCATTAGTAATGAACTCAAATTATGCCAGGTGGAATCAATATTTCGTATCGACCTTCGATCAAATTTACTCGGAGAATGTCCGGGATGAAATCCGAATTTCGATGATGCGACAGGGCTTGGGCCTCTTATTTATTTAACGTTACAAAGTTGCCTCGGTGAACGTAATTACATTTTTATTTGGCTATCAGGTCTATGGGGTGCTGTTGGGATTTACTACGGTGAATGTAGAATAGTGCGGCGAAATACCGCAGACAAGTTCTGGACACTGTTTCTGGATCTAGGAGACTTTATGGGCAACTATCGGATGAACGATCGTGCAACGGTTTGATCCATCAATGGTTAAAACGCGCTGACGTACGCAACTAAACCATTCGCCTTGCAACTAAATTTGGTGGTTGTACGTTGGTTGTTTATGAGCGCGTGTCATGGAAACAGACACTATTTTCGGATTTAGGAGACCTTACGTGCAAATATCGGATAAACGATTGTGCAATGGTATGATCCATCAATAGTTAACACGCGCTGACGTACGCAACTAAACCATCATTTAATGAGACATCGCCCTGCAACTAAATTTGGTGGTTGTACGTTGGTTGTTTATGATCGCGTGTCATGGAAACAAACACTATTTCTGGATTTAGGAGACCTCATGTGCAACTATCGGATAAACGATCGTGCAATGGTATGATCCATCAATGGTTAAAACACGATGACGTACGTAACTAAACCATCGTTTGATGAGACATCGCCCTGCAACTAAATTTGATGGTTGTACACTGGTTGCTCGTAAGTGTTTGTCATGTAAAATGCACACTATTTCTGGATTTAGGAGACCTTACGTGCAACTATCGGATAAACGATCGTGCAACGGTATGATCCATCAGTGCTTAAACCGCGCTGACGTACGCAACTAAACCACCGTTTAATGAGACATCGCCTTGCAACTAAATTTGATGGTTGTACACTGGTTGCTCGTAAGTGTTTGTCATGTAAAATGCACACTATTTCTGGATTTAGGAGATCATATGTGCAACCATCGGATAAACGATCGTGCAATGGTATGATCCATCAACAGTTAAAACGCACAGACGTACGCAACTAAACCATCGTTTAATGAGACATCGCCCTGCAAGTAAATTTGGTGGTTGTTCATGGAATTGCTTTTGAGCACGTGTCATATAAACGCGTTCTAATCTCTCCCGCAACTAAACTGGGATGCAACAAATAATTTCATGTGTGCGTTAAATCTTACCGTTTTGTTTGCGGTATCCACGAAATCCATTAACCAGTTTACCATAAGCTTATGCAGCTGCACGAATTCAAAAACGAAATTTTCAGGGCAACAATCGAAATACCGTAGCTGGCTGTATTTAATTCGGAAAGATTTACTTTTAAGGATGGTACTTATCAATTCACGTGCCAACTATGTAAGCATATTCGACACCGGTGATATTAGGTTCGTTTTGTAGGGTACATTTAATGAATATTCATGCAAAGGAAGTGGTGGTAAAGTCCTGATATTTCCATCCTGTGCTCTTCCGCCACCTCCGCTATTTTGCAGTATCCTGCAGCGCTGCGGCTCGTCACCCTTTCGTTACCTAACTTCAAAGTTAAATACTTAAGCCGGTGTGAAATACGCTATTTACTTACCAGGGTTTGCACCCTGCAGATGTGCCCTAGATTCAATGACTGTCGCGGGAAGTTATCTCAAACTTTAGCTTCTAAATACCTACGTTGTTGGTGCTACTCTTGAATACTTCTTTCCCTAGTAGCACAAAATATTTCTCCAATATTTTCTATATATTTAACGAATATCCTACATTTTGTAAATATTTACCAGACATTTGAAATATTTGCAAAACGTTTACTTTAGAATATTATCTCTATGNGGCACCCCCTTCTAAGATATTTAATAAACATGTCTTCGCTGGTCGTATCCCATGATCTTCACTTACTAATGCTGGAGTTCTTGGTAGATAAGGTTATACATTGAGTGGTCATCGACTCCACCCTTGGTCTCAATTTGTTCTTAACGTCCGATTAAGAAATGTAAATTGCGAGTAACCAGGGATAAAAACCGTTTTCCAGTTGTTCGTGATATACTATATATTCCAGTTCGCGCGACATACGTACATCGATTCACTCTCGATACGAGAAACAAAGTACGAGCGGTGGTTTAAACGTCGCAAAGACGTGACGCGCCGACAACCTCAAAGTCTATATTTCGCGAGAATTTTTTCAAAGCTCCTTTTCCCTGGGAATTTAATCTGCGACAAGCTTTGCTCCTCGTGGGCACTCCCTTCTAAGATATTTAATAAACATGTCTTCGCTGATCGTATCCCACGATCTTCACCTACTAATGCTGGAGTTCTCGGTCGATAAGGTTATACATTGAGTCGTCATCGACTCCACCCTTGGTCTAAATTTATTGTTAACGTTCGACTAAGAAATGTAACCAGGGATAAAAACCGTTTTCCAGCTGTTCGTGCCGAGAACGTCAGAGTTCGACAAAGTGATGCTGAAGAGGACCACGGTGCTATTTCGCGTTTTCGATGAGAATTGGATCACTCTACGACCCCATCGCAGGGACTATTACCCGTACAAAGGTTCCAATCGAGAGGAGGAATTCTTCTACGGCGGCAAGTCCGTTGTGTTTGCACTTCCAGAAACGCGTTTAGAAAAGCCTATGGACAGGGTGGTGGTCGACGTGTTGGTGATAAAGGAAGTCTCGAAATACTTCGAGATCGACCCCTGTCAGACCGTAGGCACTCTTCAGTTGCACGTGGAGGACCTCTTCAACTATATAAACCAGGAATTGAAAGAGCGCAAGGATCTCGAGATGTACTTAAGCTGTATCCACAAAAGGAAACCTATCTCGTCATCTCTGAGAGGCAGCTACAATTTGTTGAACGAGACGCAGGAAAAGAGTGGAGCTACCATCGAGCTCTACGTAAGGATCAGCTATTTGGGCCAATCGGTCATCACGGAAATTCAAGGGTTGGATACGCCGACCCCGACATTTTACGTTCAAGAGGAGACCAACGAACGATACCCTTATCAATGTCGAGAACTTAACGGGGAAGAGGTTCTGGGTGGTTGTTGGGGTAGTAGGTTGCTGGTGCCACCTGTTAATCCACTCGATTTCGGGTGTGCCTGTGATAAGGAAAACTTTGACAAAGGCCAAGGAGATATAAAGGAAACCGCTGCCAGTGGGAAAGGGGGAAGGGGAGGAAAAAATGGAAGGAATGGGAAAGGGGGAACAAATGCTAATGGAAAAAAAGGTCCAGCGGGTAAAGGTGTAATGGGAAAGGAAAAAGGTGATAAGGGTGCAAAAGGAAAGAAAGGGTTGAAAGGTGGAGGCGGGGAGGCTGGCAAAGGTTCGCGAAGGGGCGATGACGTAGAAGGTGGAGGGGCAGGTGGGACAGGTGGATCGGATCGAGGAGGTGCTGCAGGTGCAGCGACCTCCGGTGCAGCAGGGAGAACGGAAGATGCCGTTGCAGCATCAGGGGGTGGAACTAAAGGTGCGGCTTTCGGAAACGGGAATCAATGATCCTACACAATTTACGCAATTAAGGAAAATCCGTAAAACGTTATCCTCCTTGAAGTATCGCCAAGGATTAACCCAAAACTATTTGACGGTGATGATGCCGTTAATATGCAATTGCATTACTAATTTCTTCTTATACTGGCGCATAGAAAGCGATTTGTTATTTTCGTTTCATACAGGTGCAGCAGGAGCTGCAGGGTCAGGAGGAAAGGGTGCAAGGGCTGGAGGAACAGGAGCAAGAGCAGCAAGTGCAGAAGTTCCAGGGGCTACGAAACGACGCGGGGAGATGGGAGTAGAACCTTCAAGTGCAGGAGGCGGTACAGTTTCCGGAGGGAGAACAGGGGGTGTAAAAGAAAAAATTCCTGCAGAGGGTGGGGATCAAAAGGGAACACGGAGAGCAGCCAGTGGTCGAGCGGACCGCACGGATATCCTTAAAGTAGAAGGTGCGGAGACCAAAAATGGAAAGGATGTTGCAAGGAACGAAAGGACGCGACGTATTTTTAGAAGAGGGGGTGGTTGTACCGTAGGCATTGCGGATAAACCAAAGAAACCTTGTCCCTCTCCTCTGACTACTACCGATCCATGTTATCCTTGTCCACTTAACGTTCCCTGCCGTCCTGCTTCCACTTGGCTATCTCGGTGTATGCAATATTCTTATCCGCTATCCAATGTCTGCCCTCCTCCCGGACTTTATTAATTCATCATTGGAAGTTAATCCCTGTATTTTCCGTACAATTCGCAAATTTACCTAGATGCGATACTTATTTGTTTCCCCCATATCGAGACCCTGTCTTTGAAACGATACAAAGGCAGTATTTCCATTTGACTAGATGATTAAAAAAACGTAAAAGATGTACAATATTTGGCTGTAGACGTTCCTGATACTTGTTAACGCTCTCTGGTACAAATCTCTTATCTATTAGACTTTAATGTCCGCCGGGACTTTAGACGGTGATTACACAGGGGGAACTTTTCCTTTCAATTCGTCGCAACTGCGGCTCGTTTACTTATCTAAAAATATGGTTATATTAAACAAAATACTGTAACTTATCAGTCTAAATGTAATCAGTCTCATTTTGGTGATAATAGATAGGTATGCCCAATAAACTCGCGACGACAAATCCGGAATTCTAGGTGGTCGTAATCGTTTCTTTTGCCATTTGGGCTAACAAACGGAGTCTTTTATGGAAACGGTCATTGGAAAATTAGAGAACGAGCGATTAAGGGTGCCTGTAAATATCGTAAAATGTGCCTCGACAAAGGCATCTCAATCCTTTTCTTTCGCATCTCAATCCTGGAAACTTCATCCGAATCTGAAGTTCTCAGGCGGCCGATCGAGTCGCACGTCTCGCTTCTGGAACCCTTCCAGTATTTCTGGTTTGAGCATTCTCGTCATGTCCTCGCCACTTTGAAATTCATAGGTTCTCGCATTCTGTGGGTGGCGTTTTCAACCCTTCAGCGGCCACCCCTAACCTTCCATCTTCCAGTCAGCCAGGGCTATTATTATATCCGCGACTCCCCTCGCACTTCGAGTCCTTCTTCGTGGACACGTATCGAGTTGAAGTGATTGCGGCAGAATTCGAAGTCGAGCAGTTCGCCGCTATGGAAGGGAAGTGCAACCCCTGGTTCCTGGGGAACCGGGTTTTGACTACGTGCCCTTGGAAAGGAAAATAAAATGCCCCTTTACAACTTTGGGAAAAAGAAAAGAAAAGAAACGTCACACTATGTACTCCATTTTTATTTCTTCGTTGAGAAAGAAGGCCTATTATCGTTCTAAAGGCCATCAGCGTTGTAGAAATATATAAATTCTCCTTCTGGTTGAAAACGTTTCGGTATTCCTAGAGAATCGATAAATTAGGCCAAGATCCCGATATTACTGTCAAAAGCGATGAGAGGATATTCTTCATCGGGAAAAAGAGAAGATACTTTTAAAACCACCACGATTTTTTCTCGTACATTTGTCTCACATCTAACTCTACTGTAAACAAAGAATTCTTTTTCAAGAATTTTTTTTTAACAATTAAAACATTTTTATCCAAATTAAAGTACAGTAAGGTATTATACTACTATTAAACAATAAAATATTTTTTTGTATTTTTTTTATTTACGAAAATGGCCGCTTGAAAGGCGATTCACCGGATCGCTGCGAAAATCGATGATCGTGCCGTGGGCACGATAACTCAGTCCAGGTTTAAGCTAGATCGATGAACGAAAAAGAATTAGTTTCTGTAGCCCAAAAGCTAGTGAAATATATAGCCCTTTTGAAAAATATGCATTTTTCACAAAATGGCATCAATTTGAAAGGAAAGATACGTATTTTGCCCTAAATTTCGTTAATTAATGTTGCATAAAAAACGTGAATATCAATACATTGAAAAAACTATACGTATTTCGCTAGATAAACTTATCACGAATAAAATAAAAAAGACTCAAGACGATTGATGGAAAATTGGCGGAGCTAGAGTGCCCACCGATTTTTAAAATACAGTTTTAAGAAAAACGCGTTTAAAGTATGAACGCGTAAAATAAACGCGTAAACATTTTTTTGATTTTTTGAAAATTTCAAAGTGGCATAACTTCTTAATATCATCATTTGTTATCATTTTTGGCTAAACCAAAAATTGAAAACTCGGTTATACCGTCGGTCTCCCACGTTGGGGAAGAGCGTTCGTTGGCGAGATTAGCTGGAGACGGAAAATCGGGAAATTCTTATCATTTCAGAAGATTCCCCAGTTGATAGGGATGTTTTGACCGATGGTACCATTTTTAGCTAAAGGAAAAATTGAAAACTCGGTTATACCGTCGGTCTCCCACGTTGGGGAAGAGCGTTCGTTGGCGAGATTAGCTAGAGACGGAAAAACGGGAAATTCTTATAATTTCAGAAGAATCCCCAGTTGATAGGGATGTTTTGACCGATGGTACCATTTTTAGCTAAAGGAAAAATTGAAAACTCGGTTATACCGTCGGTCTCCCACGTTGGGGAAGAGCGTTCGTTGGCGAGATTAGCTAGAGACGGAAAAACGGGAAATTCTTATAATTTCAGAAGATTCCCCAGATGATAGGGATGTTTTGACCGATGGTATCATCCAGTGGACGTCGTAAACGAGCACGGGTCGCGGATATCGCTGAAGGTCCAAGACGGGGAGCGGAGATACGGTGAAGGGTAGCTCTGTTCCCAAGGGATGCGTTCCGCTGCAACTTCGCCATCGTCTTCACCCCCTCCGAAATTGCGCCCCTCACGAATTTACCGCTAACGATTCTTCTTCCCTTTTACAACCCGGATGCGATTAGGATCGAGATCGTTCAAGAGATGAGAGCTCTGGGATTTGCGGACCTTTGACCGCTTCGTCGAGTCGTTTACACCGCCGCGCGCCTCGGGAATCTCAAAATTCTCCAAGTTTTAAGCACTTCCGGGACTTTTTCAATTCCTGACTTAGAGCTTACTTCATATCCACATATGTCGCATTCAAAATCGAGCTAAGTATAGAACCATTTAAGGCACATTTTTCCACCTATCCTCCAAGATCTTTAAGATGATATGCAAGGCGCTGAGAAATTTAATCCAGATCGATAAACTAAAATTCATCTACATCCTTATTGGTGGGGACATTATTTTGAATACTGAGGTGACAACATAAGTTGATAAGCCATGTTATCGAAATTTATATTTATGTGCAAGTGTTTTATAGTCTACGTTGAGAATTATACGAAATGAAGCGTTTCATATGCTATTTTAGTAAAGTAATGATGAAGAGATGATGTAAAACTGTCGAAATCCTGGGAATTCATTATTCCAACGACTGTTTAGAACCAACGTCACCATCTGTGACGTTTAGCTGCAACTAAATTTTTGCTCCAAACACCCGTGTTCGCCTCGAGACGAGCCAGCATTCTCTTGCAATTGTTGATGAAAGTATTTTCCATATTTTCCCATCTGACTTTGCAATATTCCATTTCTACGATATTCTAAATTGTTCGAGCTAGGTCGTGAAACTCTTTAAGAGGAAGATTTTAAAATGCAACCACCTGACGGTTTCGCTCTGGGGGATTTTTTAGCGGTTTCGAAAGCTCGGTCAAGTTAACATTCGACAATTACAATTAGACTTTTCAGATACATACATATACTATCTCGTTCATATCACCTTAAAGGGAAAGATTTTAAAATGCAACCACCTGACGGTTTCGCTCTGGGGGATTTTTTAGCGGTTTCGAAAGCTCGGTCAAGTTAACGATTACGAATAAAGAATGGGGGATTCCGTGGGGATTTGGTCGGTACGGTCCTTTAAAAAATGATTCACGGTTGGGAGGATTTCACGGTGTTAGTGGGAAGATTGCATAAGGGGATAAAGTGGCCGGTTATTTCGGCGGGTTATAAATGGCCGTACTTTGCGGAAATAATAAATAGGAATGGAGAAACAATGGTCTGCGCATGTGCCCGTGGAATATGCGGAACGTGCAGACGTGGACGCGCACGTGTGCCACCTTTTCCCTCCCATTGTGGGGGCGCGATGCGACACCGCAACCCCCAGTGGATGAGTAGTGTCGCTGCAATGCGGACGAGTGCACCCCTATCACGCTTCGAGGATGCAGAAGGGGTTTCCACTGGTTCTATCATTCTTCCGGGTGAACAGCCTACGTTAATGGATATGCAAAAGACAAATAAAAATTGCCTTCTCTAACGGTCGTTATTTTTACCTACCCCTGAAAAACGCTCGCTGGTTTGACTCCGACGTTTATCAACTACTACGAGGGGAGTTGTCACCGGAATTAAAAACGAAATCGTTCGTTCCAGTGTGAATTGGGTGTACCGATTCGTTTCGCATTTTACCACGGGAATATGGAGGCCCTAAAGTAGGCCCTGAAACTCACGAATTTTCATTTTTCATACAGAATTTATTTATTTATCGCGGACTGGAACCAACATGGCGTGGTCCGGGCACGTTTTCGATGTTTTACGCTGCTTGGAGGATTAGAATCGAAAATTAAGAGTTTCAGGACGCAGC